ATACCTAAGTAAATAGTATTTGAGTATTTAGCCGCCCCTAAATACCTAAGTAAATAGTACTTGGGTATTTAGCAGCTCCTAAATACCTAAGTAAATAGTACTTGGGTATTTAGTCATCTCAAAATACTAAGTATTTGTGTATTTAGTACCCAAAGTGGTACTTTAAGTACAAAAGTATTTAGGTATGCCCATCACTGAAATAAACAAAAGAGAAACAGCCACAATTGATCAAAATGTTGACGACTTAATCAGCAAGTGTATGTAAAAAATGATTTTTATATTAACGTTCTCAAAAAAGTTTACAATGAATTTTAAATGTGCTCTGTCGAAATGATATTTTAATATACATTACGTAAATACTTATGTACCTTTGTATACAATAAAAGTTTCATAAGAACAATTCTGTGCGCATACATTTGACAAAGACGTTCTCGGGTAGGAAACACAACACTAGTGACGTGTCTCTGCAGTATACACATTTTGAGTACAAAAATCTCAACCCTGATACAAAAAATTGTATTAGTACTGAATGATAATGACAGATTGCATTCCCATAAACGTACAATCATACATGATTGAGTTTTTTTTTGCATTCACATTCTCTATGTAAATGGGTATCAACCATTCCATAACACACTACATATTTTGTGTTTACAATTTGTAACCAATCTCAAGAATGGTTGTTAAATTTTTAAAATCAAACAATCAAATTTTTTGTACGAATAAAATGAGAATGCACACTCAATTGATTCAATCATTATACAGCTCTGGCTCAGTATATCCAGTAAAAAAACTGTGGTGAAGTCCTTTATGGGGATAAAGTTTCCAGAGGTGAAATTTTAGGTAGCATACAATTTCTTACACGCATGGTTGCTTTTCAGCACCAACGCAAGAAACTTAAGAAATGTTAAAAAAAATATGCGTATAGTGCATTAATTTTTGAAAGAAATACCATTTAATGCATATACTCTGATTAATAATATGAAAAATGGATTAGAACAACCGTTTAATGTTATATTTGATGCAAATTAATTTTCCACTCGGGACGCTCTGCGCATTGCCACTGAATAATAGGTTTACTTAAAATTACATCCCTGGTCCTTCTTCTTTCTGTATTGCATCGTGGTGAATTCACATTTCTCAGAAATTTGACAACAAACCAAAACGAAGTAAGTGCTTTATTTGCTAATTTTTTCGATTTCTATTGTTTAATGTAAATTTTATGTCTGTTTAGGATATGTTGAGGCAAAAAAGAAGGCGCAGTTGGAAAATGAAGTGATTAGTACGAAGTAGCAGCGCAGGCACATTTGGAAAATTATGCCGATAAGCAAGATAAAATTTGGGAAAGTAAGTGCCTGGTTGCAGCATATCTATGTATTAAAAAAGTAAATAATTAAATGAAATTGTGTTTTATAGAAATGTTATTAATCGAGTGGCGTTAGTTAAGATGTGCTCCAAACATTTGGCGAACTTTTTTCGCCTTCTCAACGTGCTAAGTTACAAGTTAAGATGACTGCCACCACGGATGGTAGGAAGCCCGAAGCAAAGGGCAAACAACCTTCCAGGAAGCTGCCTGCTGTATCCGAGTCGTAGCTGAGGTTCAGCAAGAAGTAGGTCAGCAAACGTGCTACCCTGATCAAGCTAAACTAAAGCGCTCTGCTGTGATTGCCCTCCGCAAACGTGAAAACTTGTTGCATCTGAGAAATATCAAGCAAAATATCTCCGAGATGGGCGCCGTGAGAATAAGTTGCGCCGCCAAGCAAAGAAACATGGCTCATTCTAAGTGCCTGCGGAAGACAAATTGGCTTTTGTGATCTGTATCCGCGGTATCAACAAAGTTGCACCAAATGTGCGACAGTTGGTTTAAAGAAATTTTTTGGTGTACAAGTTGGAGTATTTTTATTTCAAAAATATATAATATATAAAAAAGAAAATGTTTTTTTTTGTAACTTTCTGAAGGTTTAACCCGCAAATATGCCAAATGGAAGGCAGCTTATATTCACGATTCCTTGAATAATGTCGGAATTCCATTGCCGCTTGTAAAGGCCATTTCAAAAGGCTCCATTCCACAAATTTAATTTGTGTTGGGTTTTCAGCTCATTAACGATGCACCCAGGATTGCATTTACCGTCCATGAAAATATTTCATGAAGCGTTCCAAAATTAGCTCCGAGCAACTAAAAGTTGGTTAAGTTTAAGTGAAATAGTTTTTTATTAAAAATTTATTCCTGGTATTTATTTAAAAATAAAATCAGGTCAATATTAATGTAT